GAGAGAGAGAGAGAGAGAGAGAGAGAGAGAGAGAGAGAGAGAGAGAGAGTTGAGGAAAGCTCCCCATCCTGTCGAGGCTGTCGGGTTGTTTGAAGGAAGGGAGCGATGACGGGCAGAAGTGCAGGAAAAAGAAGAAGAAAAAACCCCATTGTGAAAACACACACGGGGTCTGGCAGGGATGGAGGGATTTCTGGAGAGCTCTGATGAAAAGACAAATATGTCACCAAATACTAATGCTCTTTTTCCATTCCCTCCCTCCCTCCCTCTGTCTCCGTCTTGTTCCAGAGTTGTTGGGCTCCGCCAAGAGGCTCAACATCAACTACCAGGACTCAGACGGGTAAGAGGCGTGTGTGTGTGTACGTGTGTCTGTTAGTCAGCCCCTGAGATGAGCGGGAAGGTGAGTCTAAAGAATGCAATGGACGAGTCACTGTCTTGATTGACATGCATATTGGAAAACAAAAGGCCAACCTGTGCCTCCTGTTTGTCTTCAGTCTTAACCACCGCGTGACTCATAACCACGTCCCACACATGTTCCGACATAAAGTACCCTTCGGAGTTATTCTCTCATTCTTAGACACGTAGGAAATGACAGAAAATTGAGTGTGTTTAATTAGAAGCAAGGATCGGCCTATTAATACATGACCCATGAATACTCATCTGTTAAACCTGTTTGAGTCCTGTTCAATTTGTTATAACGCTTATTTTCACGTTTCCATCAGCACAAGTTGTAGAGAATAACTGCTACCTGGTTCTTTTACTAGAACCCCCTCGGTGGAGGTTCCAAGTTGAAACACTGCAGACCCCTACACTACAGCAAACACCTGACGAAGTGCAGACGTTCCTCTGCTTCATTGCCGAATGAAGGAGTCGGCATGTGTCGCTTTGAAGATGATGTCGCAGCACCTTTGTGCACTGTACGGTGATCAGAAGGGACATCAGCACACACTAAGGGGGTGCTGGTAACATAACCTGGTACCACAAAAAATTATTTTTGGGGGGGGTTTGAAAAGGCAAAAAAAAGATTTTGGTCTTTGTTCTCATCCATCTAGTTTATTTTTTTTAGCTCTAGCAAAGGAGGCCCTCAGACATGCAAAGCCTCCCCCTCTGTAAAGACGCTGTGTGTGTTGATGCGTTGGCCTACAAGCAATGTGTGGGTTGACCGAGGCCTGCGACGTGTATCTACATGCAGGGTCAGTGCAGTGTGTGGGAGGTGATGCACAATAGGGGTGTTGAAATTAAACATGTCCAATCTGTGACAGAGTGTGTGTGTGTGTGTGTGTGTGTGTGTGTGTGAGAGAGAGAGAGTGGCACAGAGAAAGGGGCTACCTGTGATATATGAGATCAGTGCAGAGGGGATGAAGAAGGGAAGGTTAGCAAACAGTCGCTTGTCACAGAGTCAACACCACTGCAGAGAGAGATTGAGCCTGTGTGTGTCTGTAGGAAGGGCTGGAAGTGACTCCGGATATGGACATGGTATGGTCTGGTAGAGGTGGATGAACAAACGTGTGTGTGTGTGTGTGTGTGTGCTTGTGCGTGTGCGTGGCTGAGGGGCATGAAGGACTAAACAATACAACTGACAAGATAAGCCCCTTCACGGAGATCCCTCAGATTTCTAAACGTCATAATGTCTAGCTTGTCAAACTTCACAGAGTATCACAAAGTGCGTCAACAAATTAAAAACCAACACGTCCAAACTACCAACTCGTCAAATACTGCAGCTCGGTCAGTGGCGCTGTGCTTCAAACTACGATGCTCTGGGTCACGTCTGTTTTGGAGTCAGGGACCGTGTGTCAGTTTATGCTCTTTACATGCATTGTGCCTTTTTTTTAAATACACTTCCATGTTTACAAGAAAACGCACTGCAGCATTACTTGGTTATGTTTAGGCAACGAAAGTACTTTTTTAAAAACATCTCTATTGACATCTTTTGCAAAAGCTACAGTAGGTTCTCTTTCCAGATGTATCCAGGCTGTATACTTCCACTGGTGGCAGAGCTCAGGGCTCTCACTCTGACTGCTTGAGGCTGTGTTGGAACACCTGAAGCCCTCTGCACTGTAGTGGATGTGTAGAGTGTGCTGCAGCTCGGGCTCTGCTTTCGTGATGTTGTTGCCTCCTCTCAAACACTCACTGTGCCTCTGTCGCCCAAAGCAAAAGCACAACTCGTCGCTAAGAATTTATGCCTTTAATTTCTCCCTCTGTGGAATATACTGCGACCTGACAGACGCACACATTTCAGCTCTGATGAACCCGCACACACACACACACACACACACACACACACACACAGTTTTGATGTGGGAATACGCACGCATCTTATCTTAGCCTATAGTTGTTATACACACACTCAACACATTCTCACACACACACGCTTCCCTTTGCTTCTATCTTTGTGAGGACACTCATTGACTTAATGCATTCCCTTTCCCCTTACCCTAACCTTAACCATCACAACTAAATGGCAAACCCCTACCCCAACCCTAACCTAATTCTAACCTGATCCTTGAGCCGAGTCTGAACCCTCAAATAGGCTTATGTAGGTTTGAGGACCAGCCAAAATGTCCTCACTTTCCAGAAATGTCCTCACTCTGAAGGTCTAAAACTCAACAAGTACACACAAACACACTTGTCTTCTCAGTCGGAAGTGTTGATGGATAAATGGGGATACGAACTCATAAAAACACACATAAATTCTTATCTGAGGTTGCAGTGCGTAATGGGATATTACACACACACACACACATCCCCGTCTGAAGTTTTGATGAGAGCACACACACACATTATCTGTCTGAAGTTTTGAAAGGGGCTCACCTGCTGTAAAGTCATCAGTATGATTTATAAGCCCTCTCATCTCCTTGTCTCTTCTCTCCCTCCTGCCCTCCCTTAACCCCCCCCCCCCTTTCTTGTCTCTCACCCATAGCTTCTCAGCGCTGCACCACGCCGCTCTGACGGGCACCACGGAGCTGCTGTCTCTGCTGCTGGAGGCCCAGGCCACGGTGGATATCAAGGACATCAACGGTAACGCGCTAGTAGAGCAGCTTCCCCGGCTGAACCCATGTCACCAAACAAACCTGCAACTTATGGGAACGAAATGCCCACGTTTTGGGAAGTCAGTGGGGGTTAAATTGAGCCTGAAACTTCCACAACAGCTTTCTCACACACTCAGCTGAAAAATAAGTTTGACCCATATGAATAAATATGATTCACTTTGAAGTTAGTCTGGCACGCAGTGACAGCAGTGCTACAGCAAATATATCTTCAGACTCCAAGCGGAACAAATGTAGTAGAATCGGGGCCAGGAGTGGCAGCTCGGCTGCTGAGACCAGAGGGGCGTAGTGCTCATAACCGTGTGTGACGCCTCTGAGGTCAGCGATAGATTTCTTAAGGACTGTTTTGAAGGTTGAATTTTACTCTTGGCGCTTCCTTCCAGTTCGTCAGTTTGGGCATCCAGGGTTGTTTGCATGCTCAGGGGAACACACGGCACAGCATCACGTAGCGTCACGCCATTTGAGGCCCACAGCACAGTCTGGACTAGTCAAGGTACGGCAGTCAGGACGCAGCGATCGGGGGAGTGAATGTTATAGAATGGCTGCTTTTCTAAAGCATTAGTGCGCATCAAGACCCAAGATCCCGATGTATCATTGCTCATCCCCCTGCATTTTTCTGTGACGTCCTAGCGTAACTACTTACAAATATACAAGGCTTTTAAAAATGTCAAGCTAACGAGCTTTATCATTAGCTATTGTTATTTTTTCAAGCTTCTTTCAACCCGTCCTTATGCATCTAAATCTAACGGGACCAATCATTTCTAAGTATTTCATGAGGCGCATTCCGAGCAGACATTGGGAACTTATTGATTTTCAGCAGCATTTAAAATCTGATTTGGTGATTGAAAAATGTGATGAACTGTTTCAAATGTCTCTTATAATACATACGCTGTATTTTCGTATATATTTGTACTAACCACTCGACCATGAGAGGATATGTGTCAAGATCTGTCATCTGTCATTCCCACCATCAGAAACACTCAATACCATGTACATACTGTATAATTGTGACTTGTTACACTAATCAATATGTTTTTGTATCAACAGTGGATGACTATGTGTCATGTGAAAGGTGTCACATGACACATAGTCACATGCGGCTCCCCTCAGCTCTGCAGAGTGTTTTAGTGTCTCTCAGCTCGTTGTTTTGGTTTTATGATCCCACAACTTTAAAGAGTGAACGTTGGACTGATTTCAAATCAGTGCTCATGTTGCTCTGTTTACGGGATGTGTGATTATACAATTTTTTGCTCACACATTTGAGGTGATAATATCAACGTGTGAAACAAGCTGGTTTAGGAAGCTGTAAGTAATAGGTTTTCACAGCTTGTTTCACAGTTAGATATTTACATCTCCTATAGGAACCGATAGGCTTGAGGCTTAGTGTCTTAGTCAGAAAACAAAAGCCAGTTTTGCACTTTGCATGGGATTTGCTGACACTAAAAATAACGGCCGCCTTACATTTAATGGGGCACTCCAGTGTTTTAGTATTGCACTTCCATAAAGTTGGATGATTTGCAAGAGACAGATTTCTAAAAGTATTGGTAAAAAAATCAACTCTGCAGAGGCCAAGATACAGGCTTTAAGTCCCTAACATGGCTCCAGAGAGCACTTGGTTCCCATAATGCAAATTGATAATTTCCTTAGTTAAACCTGTCCTGCTTGACAGGCTTTCTGTTAAAAATCCTAAGCCTCTGATGACATTACTATGATATTGTCAGGGTGACATTCTCATCTCACTGCCTTTTCCTCCCCATCTCGTGGGCTCTAACCCTCACCCATGTTTCTGTCCCCAGGCATGCGCCCCCTCCACTACGCAGCGTGGCAGGGTAAAGCAGACTCCGTCTTGTTGTTGCTGAGAGCCGGAGCTTCAGTCAACTCCACCTCCAATGACGGACAGATGCCGTTACATCTCTCTGCTCAGTATGGACACTACGAGGTGGTGAGTTCACACACCTGTACATGAGCTGCGAGGCATTACCAGCCCTCTGAAATCCACCCCCTTTGTGTCTCCGCCTGCATTGTCCGCCAACAATACCGGTAATACCGTTAATGCCATGACACAGGTTATTCACAAGAGTCTGAAGGCAGTGAACGCACACATTCCTTTCCTCCAGCCTCATCCGTATGGCTCCTGGAATCTCTTAATGGATAGATACACACACACACACACCTCAAGCTGTCATATAACCCATATGGAGGCCTGACCTCTTTGGTACACCATCAAACACAATACTGACGATGCTAAACAGAGCTATCGTATGTTCCTCTCTTCTGTTCAAAGACAAAACATCAACATGTGTCGGGATGACTGACATGCGAGTGCATAATGCATGAGGTGGTATCACTTACGTTATCCTTTCTCCCTTTCTTTCTCAGTCTGAGATGTTGCTGCAGCACCAGTCTAATCCCTGCCTGATGAACAAGGGGAAGAAGACTCCTCTAGATCTGGCCTGCGAGTTTGGGAGACTGAGGGTATGAGAATACTTTAGTGTAGTTTTACAAAGGTTACAAAAAAAGGTTTATTTGTCATTGTACGACAGGGTTGCACAAACGGAATTAAGATTGTGGTCCCAATTTGCTACATAGGAAAGAAAAGAAAAAATGTGAAAATACCCTATTGGGTCCTTTTTTGGATGGGGACGGCCTATGTCAAACATCAACAGCGGCTTAGATGAAGTGACCCACAGCTAAATTAAGCTTGTATGAGCGAAAGGAAAATAGGCTTCAGTGGCTCTTTTTGGACACACGCACACTGTAACATTAAAGGGATTGCACATTGCAGTGTGTTTTACTGTTTCTCTGTCACATCGGGGATGAGCCAGGCAAGGAGATGTATAGCTGGCCCTGTAATTCAGAATTACACACACAATTCCTATGCCTGTTAAATGTTCTCTCGTCAGGTCTGAGTCTGCAGTTTAGCTGTGAAAGAATAGAAGGCTTTGGGCTGTTTAGTGACACACAGACTTTGTGAGTGAGTGAGTGAGTGTGTGTGTGAGTGGAGGCTAGGGTATCTTTAGACAGCTGCTGAGTAGTGGATAAGCCTCTCTGTACTAGCTTGTCCCTATATGTACTGTAAGTCACCATATACGTTATTTCAGTCCATATATTCTTACCACCAAACCTCATGGCCTTGTATATATATTTAAGTACTTCTAATGCTGTAATTCTTGCCCCGATTCTGCCACTCCTCTGTTCTCACAGCTCACACTTCGTCTTCATTTCTCCTTAGGTGGCTCAGTTGCTGCTGAGCAGTAACATGGTGGCGGCGCTGTTAGAAGGGGACAACATGGACTCTCCATCCACCACTCCCCTCCACCTGGCAGCCAGGAATGGACACAAAGACATAATCAAGTAAGATCACAGCAGGAAGCAGCGTTGAAATGTACTGTAATAGAATTCTATCACATGGTCCATCATCTTCCCAGCAGCTTCTGTCTACTTCAACCACAGCTACTGTTACTGCTACTTCTGACACCAGTACTGTACAGCTGCTACTGCTGCTACTGCTAATGCCACTTCTACCACTGTTACTATTGGTAACAGTATCACTACTTTTGCAACTACTGCTATGGTTATTATTTCTATGTTTACTACTACTACTACTGCTGCTGCTGCTGCTGCTGCTGCTACTACTACTGTTACTACTGTTACTACTACTACTGCTACCACTATTGTCACCACTAGGGCTGTCAGTGCTAATCATAGACTGTATATAAGAAGTGGACCCCATTGGTTTGTGGACGATGGTTTTGGAGTCGTGAGTTTTTTTTAACAGTAGCATTTTGGCTGTCGCCATCTTGGTTTTTGTTAACCTCTGCTACTGCTAATGCTACCACTATTACTTTTGGTACCTCTATATCCACGGTTGCAACTAAAATCACAACAACTGCCACAATAACAAGCACTAGTTCTACTACAACAACTATTCTTACTGCTACTATCACGATCACCATTACTAAGGCAGTCAGTGCTACTACTGCTGATACTATCCTAACAGTACAGCTTGTGTTACTACCACTGCTATTACCGTTATTATTTCCATTATCGCTCCAGTCCACTGACACTTCACAGAATACCGTATGTGTGTGTCTGGCCTCAATTCACAGCTGCAGGTGCTAAACATTTCCCCTCTGGTAACTCCAGAAGACAAAACCAGTAGCGATCTCCACATTTAAAAAGAACACACTCTCTACTGCAGTGATATTTAATCCCAGTAACTTCACATTTTCCTCAGTGTGTGTTTTTTTTATGCCAGCATATGTAAATATGTATGTGCTTAGCCAAGTAACTCCACCCTGCCTCTCAGGCATGCTGTTAGCGATTATCAGATCCCTTTCGCAATAGCAACTCCATCCTCCTCTCTCCTTCTCCTGAACTGGGGAAATTAATAGTACACATGAAGGAGAAAATACGAGCTTTCAGCACAAATATATGAAAAAAAGATCACCGCATTAGCACACGAGTTTATTCAGAGTTTACTCAGCAGAATTTGACTGTGATCTCCCACTAAGGGATTTATGTCTCTTCAAAGAGTCTCTGTCTCCTCCACAGCAGACGTCTTACAGTACCTACTTTTTGTGTAGCTGGAGAAGTTTTCTGGGTCTGGATAGAACTGGAGCTGCAAAAGTGTGCACACAGACAAGCGAGAGATACGACTTTGTCCCAGGGAAGATGTGAAGACTTGTTGATTTAGTATCATATATATACACCCTAGTTATATGAGAAGATAACAGTGATAAGTATTAATTTTGATTAAAATAAAAAAATCATATTTGGTTAATTCATAGTTACATTTGATCCTCAAAACTGAAGGAGACCCCATGTTGAGAACCTTTGCCGTGGCATATTCTATACTTAGTGTAGACATGCATTGCAGTTTATGTAGAGTATAACAATAAATCACCACAAGTACGCGTTGCTCCCCTGAGGTCCGCTTGACGTAAATTTCATCATCAGGGGTGTTTGTGTAATCTCTGTGCGAAAGTTTCAAACTGTTTAATTTGTGCAAATTTAGACATATTTCTGTAGTAGTCTAAGGAATCATTCAGTCTTATAATGAAGTATCAGACATTTTTGTGAATGAAGTTGGAAGTTTTGAGAATAAAAGTAATATTATAAGAAAAAAGTCATGATGTTTCAGGAATAAGAGTGTAATGTTACAAGATGTTCATTTTGATACTCCATTGTCGTCTGTCTCTCCGGCTTTATTCTTGTAATTTTTTTATAACGTTAAGTTGGAAAATTACAAGAAAAAGTGAGATTTCAAGAACAGTTCCAGTTGTTGTTACAGGATGCTTATTTTATGAACTCTGTTGTAGTAAACAGGTGAGAGATCAAGAATAACACATCTTGCCATCTTCCTAGAATATTGTGATTATTATTCATAAATTAGCTTTATTCTTGTAGTTCTTTCTGTATTCATGTTTTTAAGAAAAAAGTTAAAAAAAAGGAAAACAAAATATTTTGAGAATGAAGTTCTAATATTACAAGATGTTTATTTTAATACTCCATCATAGTAAACAGATGAAAAGATGTGTCAGCTTTTAGGTGTAAATGGGAGAAAGTGTTTTTTCTTTTGCTTATAAATGGTAAATTACAACTTTATTTTTACAATATTATAGAATATTTTCTCTTAAGATTCAAATTTACATGAAAAAGTAAAGAGATTATTAGTTTAGTTATAATTTTACAAGAGAATTGTAATATTTCAAGAATAAAGTTGTACATTAAATTCAAATTTTTTATTTATGTTTTTCTTTAATACCCTGTAGTAACTGTAACTGGTGTCTACATGCATGCATGGCTTAATCTTTGAGACAAGCATATGCTACTAGCAGGATCAACTAGGTAGCCAAACGTCACCGACGAGGGGCGGAGGTCCTAACTGGTACTGTAACTGTAACTGTAACTGGTGTCTGTCAGCTATGATGTGAGAAATAAGGGATGGGATTTTTCCTGTCAAATCAGGACTTTTCTTCATAAAAGTCTTGTAAAAAGAATAATGTTGCAATATTGCAACATGTTTGTGTGGAGACTTGTAATATAAGGACTTTTTTTCTTATTAAAGTATAGACTTTATTTGTAACATTTAATTTTATTTATTTTTTTACTAACGTCTGGAAACTAGGAAGTAACAGTAGAAGTGTTAGCATCGACCGCACAAATTGGTGGCAAAGATGTGTTGGTAGTGTGGTAACATTCAGAAAACAGCATGCAGCTAATATCCTACAGCAGTGCTTAAGTGTTGTTTACATCCTAAGAACCTGACTCAACGTTCACACAGCGAGCTGAGGACCTCCTCCTCCTGCAACCGCTCTCTGGATGCAACGCCATCAGCATTCAGCTATATTTGTTAGCGTGTGTGTGTGTGTGTGTGTGTGTGTGTGGGCGGATGAGTGGGGGTATATGGCTTAATGAGATGTCGCAGATGTCTGTAACAGTTGAATGGATGAATCTGTTTTCTGAGGGTTGCCTGCGGCCTTACATGAGTGTTTCTGCTTTGATTACCCAGGTTGCTGCTCAAAGCCGGTATCGACATCAACAGGACCACCAAAGCCGGGACGTCTCTGCACGAGGCTGCTCTCTATGGCAAAACGGAAGTAGTGCGGCTGCTGCTTGATGTAAGCAAAGACGTAAAAACATAATTTCGGCTCAGCTGTTATTGGATTTTGAAGGCTGACACTAATATTTTTATATTGGAGGTGTAGCTACAAAGATAATTACGAACTAACGCAACTTCCCACTGAAATTGTTATGCTTTAATAAAGGAGGGAGGCCTCTGAGGGAGGGTTTTGTTTTCATACTGAACCTCACCCACACTAATCCCACAGTGTCTGTGTGTGTGTGTGTGTGTTTCTAGGCGGGCATCAATGTGAACATACGCAACACCTACAACCAGACAGCTTTGGATATTGTCAACCAGTTCACCACCTCCACAGCAAGCAGGGAAATCAAACAGTTGCTGAGAGGTTAGTGGCTCTTAAAATCAGTTGATGCTTTTGTGAAGTGTGGGTTTTTGATGGAGACAGAGGCGGTGGGAACAGTGGGGGGGAGCTTGCTAGGTGGCAAAGAGAGAGGTCAGAATAGAGATGATGGTGTCTGATTCTTTCTGTCTCTGTGCAGAGGCATCAAGCTCTCTTCAGGTCAGAGCGCTGAAGGACTACTGGAACCTCCACGACCCCACCGCTCTTAACCTCCGGGCTGGAGAGCTTATTATGGTATGTGTTTTTTTGTGTTTCTTGACAAAATAACCCCGTTCTCTTTCATGGCTGTCTGCTACAGTCAGTTAGCATTACCCCTGTTTTTGCTTGAGTTGGTAATGGCAATTCTGCCATTCTCCTGCTTCATGTCTTCCAGTTAAATTGACAGTGGCTCCAATAACAACTTTTTTTCTTTCTACCCTTTGTTAGCTTTGTTTGTAAAGTAGTTGTTCATTTATAATGTGATTTGAAGACGTCAGAGGGGGTAAGGCTTTTGTTTATAGTGTACACATTGACGGAGACTTTACAAATGATAATTGATCAGCTTAAAATACCATGACGGCCCTGAAATACGATGATGCCTCCCATCAAATTAAAAACAAGGATGAAAGTGGTTCGTGTCCTGTACGGAACCAAAAGTGAATGTTTATACATATAAACTTACTTTTGGTACATACTTAGTTACATAACAAACATACTTATTTTGTCCCCCAAAATAAGATCAGTTCCTAAACCTAACCAGGTAGTTTTGTTGCATAACCAGGTTCGACATCTCAGAAGCTCGCTCAGGCGCACTGATCACTCGTGTTGCTGGACATTCCAAGGAGGACGCACCAATATAAAAAAATTACTTTTCGCAAGATATCCTACGAACTGTTGTATGAAGATACGTTGATCACACATATATATATATATATATATATATATATATATGCCGGGTCTGAATTATGCATGCTGTTTATACACCCACACCACTCATTTATAAATCCCAGTCTATGTGTGAGAAAAGAGGTGTGTGGTGTGGTATGCATTGTTAAAACGACATGATCATGACTTCATACTCCAGGTAGCCCTCTGGGTGTTGGTGCGGATTGATACATTTGTAAAAAAGAGAAGCTCGTCTGTTCAGCGAGATGGACGATTGAAAGACGTCAAAAAAAACCTCCAGACACACTTCTTCACCTTTTAATGGTTGAGATTACAAAATCTCTTTTGACATTGCATATTCACTGTGCTGCACCTTTCCCAAGTGAAGGCTTGTTGTGTGTTTAGTTCATGTCTGTAACCATGCAGTAATTACTGTAACACCGGTCATGTACAGGTGATCCATGTTACAGTTCACTAGAATGGAACTACTTTAAAATCCATTCAGCTGCAAGTCATTTTTACCTGCCTTGTGCTGCCTATTCACAGGCAGTATGAGGATTATACGATGAAGACTTGTGTGAGTGAAGTCGTGTTGTTAGGATTTGCTTGGGATGTTGTAGGGTAATTTAGTGTACCCTGAGCAAGGAGACCACAGCAGAGGAACAGGCACTAACTTGCTGCAGTAACTCTCTCATTAACAACTTGTTATCGCGCACCACCCCCCCACCCCACACACACACACACTCGCTGTTTGCACTAATTCATGCGCGTGCACATTTTTGTGTTTACGTGCTCACTGCTGTGTATTTTGATATCTTTATACGAGTCATTGTGACAGCCCAGACTCCTGTATGGACTCGTATGTCGTCGTGGTTTCCTGTCAGAAGGCAGAGGTGTTTGTTTTTGTCCTCTCCAGGCATTTTGTTAACACTCACGATGAATAGACTGTACTTCCAGCTCATTGGCTCTCTCATTATGGACTGAAAAACATGCCTGGAGGAGTCACACACGTGACACACATACTTAGAGTCGGTGTGCAGTTGACAAGGGAAAATGTTATGAAAGCAAACCCCTCAAAGCTCCAAATTCTTCACCCCCCCCCTTTAATCAAAGCTCTTAGTCTTCACATCTCTGAGTAGTTTGTTCAAGACTGTTTATGTTCCATACTCTTGTCTAATGTGATTGTGAATCGTCGCGAGGCTAATGCTGTTTGCAGCAACACAAACATTTCAGCTGAAGCGTGCTCATGATTTGTTGGTGTCAGGTTGTGGAGCAGCACTCAGACGGCCGCTGGAAGGGTCACATCCATGACACCCAGCGGGGGACGGACCGGGTGGGCTTCTTCCCCCCCTTCAGTGGTGGAGGTCCTCAGCAGACGAGCAGGTAGACAACCAAGCAGCTCACACACCACATCTGCAGAACGTATGCTGCTTTATGCCACACGACATTTTAGAGGGAAGAATTTTACTTTTTCTCTCCATTACATAAATTTTATCTATACTAACTTAAGACAAAGTGTATCACTCTTATAAGAAATAATAAATATAATTTGGGAGTCCTCCTCCAAGAACACTTTTACTTAAAACGATGCAATTTCACATTATTTTGGGACATTATTGTTAATATAGATAAAGCCCAAATAACTTAAAGACAAAACTTGCTATAGTTAAATAATTATTTTGTTATTTACACAGCCTTCCTCTGAACATTGATTCTGCTGGAAACGTTTTCCCTGTAAAATCATATTCTGTAATTCTAAATCGCATATTCAGAAAACTTTGAAATGTTGTCTAATTAATTATATTTGATCACTTTAATAAACGTGAAAAAAACACTGTAGTCACCTCCCCTCCCCTCGTCCAGATGCCCTCCTCATTGTTTTTGTGTTCATACGGCACAAAAATGCTGGCACTACACTGTATGATGACAGGGTAATGGATTGCCCCAGAGAACCTGATATGAAGAGGGCAGAGGCGTTTGTACCGGCAGCTTGTGCAAGAAAAAGTCACGGTACGCCAAAGAGTAAATTGTAGAAGTACCACTTACTACTGACCCACTTCGAGCACTGAAGACCACTGAGATCACAGCAACGAGTAATTGGTTACCATATCAATTTGTGGATGATAACTCTGTCCCATTGCCAGATGGAACTTCACATACTGGGGGCTTGGGCTGACAGAGTGGTGTTTAAAAGGGCAAACCCAGGGCATTGGTTATATGTCTGGGCTAAGAATAAATCTCGACACTTGTACACAAGCAGGATCTATCATGTTGGCATGGATGATCACTGGGGGGTTCAGCATGCTTGTAAATCATCTGATTTAATCCCTGTGAATAAAAGGAATAGGACCCCTATGTTTGTTTTGCAGCTATAAAGCCACTGACATTCAAAGAGCGGGACAAGCACAGCGAGGGGTCCAATAACAGCTACAGACATAGATATACACACACACACACAAGCTAAGACACTTCAGTTCAGGAAACACACAAACGGAGATATTCATAAACGGAAACGCACATTAATAGGATTACTATGGCCAGATTGCAAAGTGTCAGCTCAGTGCTAAAGCCCTCACAGTCTGCGCTGGGATATTGTGTGTGTGTGTGTGTGTGTGTGTGTGTGTGTGTGTGTGTGTGTGTGTGTGTGTGTGTGTGTGTGCGTGTGTGCGCGCGCGCGCGCGCGTGTGTCTGCTCATGCTTGAGGAAGAACAGACAAGAGAAAGAGAGTTTGACTTTAAGTCGGTGACAGGCTCTTTGCTTATGAGGCAAACTCAGTCGTGTGTGTGTGTGTGTGTGTGTGTGTGCGTGTGCGTGTGCCTGAGCTCTGTGATAATGTCAATGGTGTCAGCAACTGTGGACCAACAACACACAAAGGAAAAGTAAGCCCTATAAGCGTCGCTGGTGATCTTACACCCTCTTTCAGCAGCCTCTTATGTAACACCAGAGGGGATTTACGGTGAATTTGCTCTTTTTCAGTTGTTGTTCCAAATACTCAATGAACAAGAATATATGATAAAGTTCATAATGTGCTCACAATACTTCAAAAGGGTGTTATCTGTTGCCGTCTTACAGTCTGTTCCCATACCTGTGCATGCAGTTCAAACTGACAAAACACACATGCATGCACATGCACTTCTGTCCCTCACTCATGCATGCCAGCATCAACCCAAACCTGTCTCCTTGACCATAGGGGGCACTCTCTCCCGGCAAGCCTCAATGCCTTGCCAACGACAACACTTAACGTCCAGAGTTCCTTCCTCAAGCCATGGCTCCGCCCCTCAGACCGATGACTCATACACCCTTGGTTATGATCCCGCAGGTATACACGCACGCACGCACACACACACACACACCCACCCACGCACACACACAAGACTACAAGAGACCACTACAACCACAAAGAGACCACTACGACCACAAAGAGACCACTACGTCCACAAAGCGACACAGTACGACCACAAAGAGACACGGTACAACCACAAAGAGACACAATACGACCACAAAGAACAAAGAGACACAATACGACCACAATAAGGCGCAAAACGACTACAGAAGTCAAGGTTAGTTTGTAAATTGTTTTGTTTCAAGTTTCAAGTCATTTATTGAGTCAGTAGGGGAGGGAGAAGATGATGAAAGACCTAACTAATTGCTCAAAGTACTTGATGATGGTAGAGGTGAGTGCTACTGGGCAGGAGTCATTCAAGCAGAGGGTTATCATCAGTGGGCAGGGATCCTGGGCCTTTGTACCTCCTCAGCGGCAGAGTTGTTCTCAAAGTGTGCATAGAAAGTTTTCAGTTCATCTGGGAGAGATGCAGACCTCAGCACTTCTGGTTTTCCTTCTGAAGCCTCTGATGGTTCTTAGTTCACCATGTTTCTGGTGTTGGAGCCATGGTAGTTAGACTCCACTTTGTCCCTGTATTGTCTCTTAGCACTGCTGATAGCTCTCCAGAGCGCATACCTAGACTTTCTTCATTGCAAAATTAAAGCATCAGTCTGTGCTTTAAGTTTCACAGACTTCCCCATTAACCCGAGGTTTCTGATTTGGAAATGTCCGTACAGTAGTCCTCACTACAATGCCATTGATGCATTTGCATATGACCGCACCTGCGGGTTTATCCTGAGTCTCTTATTTGACATTTCCTCGCTCCATCTTGTGGCCGTCTCAAAGCTCCTATTTCTGCCCTGAGGAGCGAGGAACAAGAAGCGAGGAGGCATCTCTAGTAGCAAGGATACAAGGATACACAAGAGCAGCCTTCACGGAAGTCTTTTAACGGCCTACAGGGCCCCTATTGGATATATTGGTTATTGATTGGATGCTTCAGCTGATCTGACTCATCTCATACATCACAACATCACTAGAGTTTAGATAACTGATTAAACTCAAGTGTGTGACTACCAAGTTTAAAATATTTTTTTTGTTTTCTGATTCAGCATCTATTTTAAAATTCTGTGTTAATGTTTTAACAGGCCTGAAGAACGAAAGAACAACAAACAACTTTAGAAAGATTTTTCTTTTCATGGTCTGCTATTTCCCCCATTAACTTTTATTATGGATACAATTAAAGTGAGAGAGCGCAGGAGAGTGTCTATCTGTCAGCAAGAAACACTTATCGTAACACAGTTATCGTCATTTCCATTCAGTCACATATGACGCTGATCATTCCTGAGCATTTGGTTTGACATGAGTTACATAATTTCAATTTTCCCTGAAACATTTAGCCTGATAAATAATTCCCATTGTTCAAAAGACACCAAAGTTATATTCTGGGTTATTAAATAATGAATTCACAATCAGAATATCAATAAATACAGACGCAAATCCTGAATAAATTATAGAAGCGCATTCTGCCAGTAGTAGAAATGGTTCCTGTCCCTCTAATTATGATAAAGTACACAGTATGAAAACAGAATACAAGCTTGTATTCATGTGCAGGTGTTTGTTTAACGGTTAACGGGCTACAGCGAGAAAACACTTAAACTTAAACTTGCATTCTTTCCAATGGCCAGCAGGGGCCGACTTCTCTGAAAATAAGTCTGATTGTATAGAAGTCTATGAAAAAATGACTCTACTTCTCTCTTGAGTTATTCTCTCAGTAAACATTGTAAACATGAGTTTATGGTCTCAATCTCTAGTTTCAAGTATTCTTCAATACACCATGATGTTCATTTAGTAAATTACTGTTCCATTTAGAGTCAAATAGACTATAAAGCAGGGTATGCTTTGGGGCGGGGCTACCTTGTGATTAACAGGTCGCTACCAGGACTTTGTCCAGTCTGGGAGTTGCTTTGTTCAACGTTCGGTTGTACTAAGCTCCACACTCTCGTGTCACTTCTGGTTGCAAAAGACCAAGATGGCGACAGCAAAATGCTGAACTCAAGGCTTCAAAACCGTTCCTTCGGAAGATAATAAGAATTGTATCTGATCACAGGATGCTATAGATAAGGTCATGATCATGATGCAGACGCTGCCCTCCTTATTATTCCCCTATTGTATTGTCCAGTCATGACAGCGAATGAATCGCCCCTCTGGAACAATAGTTGAGGGGTTGGGCCAAGTCTTAAACCATAATTTTGCAGTTCTTAGCGTCCCTTTGAAAAGCCATCCTAATCCCTCTTGTTCGGTCTTGTTGAAGGTCTTGCTAATATGTAGGAGGGGTGGTGGGGCCTTTTACATGTCTGTGCCCAGGGGCCCCTTGTCTCATAATTCGTCCATGTTCCCAAGTTTCACATGTTCCTCCCAAACAGCCCCCTGGTCCCAGTCCCCTCTCGATCAATCCTCTGTCGCTCAGTGGCAGCTTGATGCAGTAGGTCCACTCCCAGCTACAGTGTGTGGCTTACACAGTGAGTGTGTGTCTAAAGTGTGCGTGTGTTTGTTAGGTGCTCCACCTGACAGTCAGCTGTCTGCCCCAGCTAGTCCTGCTAGCCCCGCTCAGGACATTTGGGTCCTCAGGAGCTCTCCCACTGGTAAGGGTGTGTGGTCTCAAACCCCTGCCAGCCAACCCACCCTGTGTGAACCTGTTGACCAGATCCCATCCCAGCCACTCTGATAAACTCCCTCTTTAAGGCAGCTTATCCCCATCTTTATCCCTTAAAATCCCAGAGTCTTGACCTTACCCTGACCCCCCCATCCTGCCACCCACACCCCGTAACCGTAACCTTTGACTTATCTTGCAGCAGGACATAATGCTGAGCAGCACTCTTTAAAGCCTTTTCTTCTTCTCCTGACTGTTTTTTTGCAGCTGCCTCCACCCTGAAAGCCTGCACAGCAAAATATGAAAAACAATTATCTTAACAAGTCATTTCAACCAGTGTTGAGTTATGAAAATTGCAATTTTGTTTTTTTATTAAGCAAAGACATCATGTCATCTGATCACCAGATCATTGCTAAAATTGGCAACATTTTAAATAATTAAGAGATTTTTTGGTAAAAACACTAATGCGCTTCCAGAGTTAGATAAGAGGATTGATAGCAATCAACGCTAGAGCTGGGATGTTGATTAGCCTAGCTTAGCATAAAAGCTCACTAATTAACATGTTATATTTTGTTTTAATTCATACAAAAACAGAGATGTAAATGAGATTTTGTGATTCTAGGGGACGCTGCATTCTGTAACTTTCTTGCTGGAATGGATGAACTGTTGTTCCTTACATCATGTAACTCCCTCACCTCATGTATGGGTCAAACAAATTACATTTAATTGTTTTTAACTTTGGACAGAGCTAGACTACTTGTTTCTCCCTGCTTCCAGTCGTTAAGCTAAGCTAAGCTAATCACCATACATGTCCACAGACATGAGATTAGTATAGATTGTTTAATTTAAAGGCACAGTATGTAGGATTTGGTGGCATCTAGATTTCAACCAACGGAGTAGCCCTTCAGTCACTCCTCCCTTTCCATGACTGGGGTAACGTGAGGCTCAGAGGCCATGCTTACTATAATAACGATGACTTTAGGAGCAGGGGAAGTCAGACGGTGGCTTGTAATACAAAGGTTTTGCACTCTGCGGCGCTTGTTACCGTAGTTTTACAAGCGTGTTGGACAGCTATGGTGGGGGGGGGTAAAGGCTTACATTCTCAGCTAACGAAAACACAATTCTTAGTTTCAGGTGATTATACAATAATGAAAACATAGTTATGAATATTATATTCTGTTTCTGCTAATAGTTCACCTGGAATCCTGCACACTGTGCCTTTAACTTTTGACGAAGTAAGCAAACAAGTATATATCCTATGATGGTTAACTAATCCTTTCATATGGGTAAATAGGAATTTCTAAGGACTTGTTCAATTTAGTTTTTTATCTTTTGCAGTACAATACAATCTTGCTTTCCCTGCAGATTCCCTAACTATCAGTCAAATGTAAGTCTGCTTCTACACTGTGATCTCTCTGTTTTCTCTCAGGGGACAGAAACAGTGTTGGGAGTGCCGGCAGTGTGGGCAGCAGCCGCAGCGCTGGTAGCGGCCAGAGCTCAGAGAGCGGCCACAGACAGAATGGGATTCACAATCGCCACAATGCCGACACTGGCAAGGTTAGATCTGCTCAGATTTCTCCACCGGTTCTACACATTGTCGTTGTAATTCACTTGTGTGAATGAACATTTGAATACAAGACGGCCTGACTTGCCATGTTGGATATTGTCTGCAGTGCACCTCAGTAATCCTAGAGACGCGGTGGTGGTGTTCCTTGCATCTTTCCTTTATGAGTTCTTTTGTATGCAGCTGGCTCCCTCTGCTGGTGAATCTGGAGACCACCTCCACATTGCCGGAGCAGACCACAACAAACAGGCAGATGGATCCACAGGTTGGTCAGAGAATAAAACATCTTCTGTCTTCTTCCTGTGTTTAATAACAAATCTATCAATTCTCATGATACGAATTCTCTCTGTCTCAGCTCCTTTATATGAACAACATTTGACAATCAAGTAAAAAGTTGTGATTACAGAATATCCTGATACCATGAGAATAAAGTCATAGAATTACAAGGACAAAGTTCATATCGTTTCCAGTGAGTCATGAGCTTTAAGCCTTCTGTAATGCCATGAACTCAGCTGTCTGGAATATTACTGCTCCCTGCAGTGCTTTAGCTGCTGCTTCAAGTCCAGTTATGGGCCGTGTGCATCATGTCATTTATTTCATTTCTTTTAAAAGCCGTGATAATGTTGGATATCGTTACTTATTTGTGAAATCTATAACTGACGATCATCCAAATCTTTCATTTGACTCATAAATGGTCACCTGTTTTCTCATCTGTTGAAAAAGTATTATTTTTTTGTGAAATATTATGACTTTCCCACAAAAGTCTTTGACTAGTTATACAATATTTTCTAAGTATTATCTTTGTTTTATCTTAATATTATGACTATTTGTAGTCATGTGACTCTAAATATCTCAGATTTCTGTCCTAACAACGGTCTTAATAATAATAATCCGTATTTTGGAGGGTAAAAATATTTGTGTCAGTGCAAGAAAACCAGGTTAGAATATAAACCTTATATCCTGATACTTATATACATTTTTAGGACTCATATCCAGGGAACAACAGCAACAAAGCCATAGATACTATTATTGTATCATGTTAAACATTACTGTACCTACTTGAGGAATGTGATTATGGACAAATGTAGTGTACAAGTGCTTTTGTTCTGCATTGAGCTGTTATTGCTGTGAGTCTGAAAGGAAATGAGATGGGAGGAGAAAGAAAAGGCTTACCTCACCTCACCACAGAAACCAATAAAACCACAATACTCTCTCCACCACACAACCCATAAAAAGCTCTCAATCTTCTCTGTTAGGCTGTGTGCACGCTCTGAGATCTGTACAGCAGGTGCAAAACCAAAAGCCCAAAAAATCATAGAAAAGTGCACATTGTGCAGTTATTCTCTTTACTTGCTGAGAAGGGGCTTTGAAGATGTCATGGAGTGACATGTTAGATGAAGCAGAGGATCTCTGTTGACCTCAGGCTGAATAGGAAGGAGGGTTAAAGTGAAGGAGAGAAATGAGGAGTTTGGAGGGAGGGGTCAGAGGGAGGGGGACAGGAACATAAGCAGAAAGAGCAAAACACATTTGTTAAATGAAGGAGAAAGAGAGCAGATCAGATGACTTAACTGGGAGAAATGTGTGCGTGACGGATAGGCAGAAGGATGAAGTGCCAAACATCAGGAGCTGTTCCGCTCTCCTTCCTCCTGAAGGGTAAGAACTCATATACAGGTTGTTTGATGTTTTGTCACGGCTGTCGAGGATCATATATTTATTCTCTTTTAACGTCCTCTCTGTCGCTAGATTCATTTGTTAGATGTGACCAGAGGTTTATTGAGACAATGTGGTGGCAATGAGACAGCGGAGGTGAAACCAGAGACGAAGGCTCCTGGTGATAGTCTTCTGAGTCTGAATTTTTCAGGACCAAAGGTGTAACATCTGTCCGATATTAGTTTTTGTTTTCTTCCCTACTGTTAAGACAGGTGCAACGAATATGTCAGCAAAACAACATGCTCTTAAAATGTCTTAAAATTTGATTCGAGATTCGTATTGATAAATAATATTGAGTCAAATTCATAATTTGACTCTGTCTTTGTGAAGAACAACCGGCTTCTCAACCCAAAAGCTTTGTCTCTTGCCCTGAGGCCAAATACCTCTCCACTAGGTGCTCCGTTGTACTCTCCTGGGAGACAGCGGGCCCCTGACCTCCACAGCAGACTAGAGAGAGAAGGAACCGGAGTAAATAAAAAACACAGACAGATAAGCAGCTGAGGTTCTTTGACCTCGTGGTATTTCAAGTTTTAGATTAACCTAAACTAATACTTCAAAAGTGTCAGGAAATAAAACTTCCCTGGGTTTGATGAAAAGATTGTTATTACTCTCGTGTCAGTGTGTTTAGTACAGAACAGGAGTCAGAACATGGCTAGCCTAGCTTAGCATAAAGACTGGAAGCAGGGGGAAACAGCTGGCCTGGCCTGTTTAAAGTTCTTCTATGTTTAGTCTGTACACAAATAGGAATGTAAAAACAACACTAGTTTTTGCCCAGTCTACTTGCAGTGTCTGTAGCACTGGCCCTGGATGCGATCGGTGAGCTGGGCACAGGTTTTAGGATGAGTGTCCAATCAGAACAGTACCAAACCTGGCAACCTCACGGTGATGACGAGGCTCCGGGAAATCACTGCGCCAAGAAATAGTTCCAGCACTGAACTCCCTCCTTAGAACAACAAATATCATTTTTACATTCCTGTAATGACACACAGGAGTGAGCTTTAGACATGTAAGGAGGTGTATTTTTAACCTTTGGACAGAGTCAGTCTAGCTGTTTCCTCCTGCTTACACTCTTTATGCTAAGCTAATCGCAGCTGGCTCATGCTCTTAACCTAATGCATAGACATGATCTTCTCATGGAACTCTGGGAAAGAAAGTAAAATAAGCACATACCCCAAATGCTGAAGGACCAGAAGCTTAAAATATCTGTTGTCTTCGAAGTCACTCCTCTGTGTGTCAGTTCACCCAAATTACAAAACAACATGTTTTCTGACTTACCGTTCGTGGTGTCTAGTCGTGCAGATAGTTTACATTGTATTAAAGGGCAACACCCCCTAAATTAGGAATTCCAATATGTTATTTCCATGGCTTATTCCATGTTTGATCAACAATTTTGAAGGTGAGCTCCTCTCTCTCTCAAAGCCAGAAGCCAGAGATATGAGTCTTAAACTTGTGATATCTCCAAGTGTGGAGCGGCTCAATAGACGATTAATGGTACACCCACAGAATATTTGTTTTCTTTTTTGTACCCAATGAGCTTTATTCTATTCTAGTGTTCTCAGTTGTGAAAACAAAAAATGTAGTTCCACAGTTAGTACTTGATGGCATCACATATTTGAGTTTTAGCACTCTGGTGTTTGGATTTAGGAGAGTAGTTCTTTTTTACTTATACTTTTGCACCGTCTTAGACCGTAGGAATAACATGTATGAATTTTGAAAATGGGCGTAGTTCCCCTTTGAGTTGCTTTAACTATCTACACGTCTAGATGGCTCTAAAGTTAAGTGAGAATATATGATTTGGTTGAACTGACACTTTTCATACAGTCACTTTTTTCTCTGGGCTCATCAATTGTCCTCGACCTTTTCGACTTTGCGTTTCTGTCTCGGCCACTCACTCAGAATGGTGCTTTATCAACAGTGATACTCAAACGGTAAAAGGACCCTGTGAGGAGGGATGTCTGAAAGAGCAGAGAGAGAGAAACGATGAAAACACTCGCCTCGGGCTAGAGATGGGAGGGAAGGTGCATTCCTCAGAGATGAAGGAGAGATGAGTCATGAGTGTGTTCAGTGGGTTTTCAGATCAGGTAGATAACACACCTTCGCTCACCTAGAGAGACCCAACAACAGCCACCCCTCCACCCCAACCCAGACAGCTGCAAGAAGACTGATTCAACATGACTGGTGTTAATGCAGACTATATTAGTAACTTTCTCAAATGTGTATAGTTCTTAGCAGCGTCTTCTTGTTTCTCGTCAGGGCGTGCTGACCCCGCAGACACTCAGGATAAAGCGTGGTGGAGGTTTGTCGTCCTGTACCATTGATCATGTGTGTTTTCTAGGTGGTTCCTGTCGGCAAGTCAACGGCACTCCTCAGAAAGGCTTCGTGAGGCCGGAGGAGCTTCTGGAGGGCAAGGTGAGCTTTCCCACTCGACAAAGAAACCACTAACAACCATTAACAACTGCTTTTGTCTCGGTGTTCATTTTCGGGATAAATGACTCTGTAGTAGTCACAGATGTTTTTTGGCTCCACCGCCGATGGCAGTGATGGAAGCATGACACCTTGGTGGATGCGCTAATTTTGTGCCCCCTTTTCCAGCACGATGCTATCTGATGCTAAGTGAATCATTTGTTCATTAAATCAGCAGGGATTTGGACAATTTTTACAATTTATTAATGTACAAAACATATAATTAATATGTTTTCATCAAAGCCACAACTCTCCAAAAACAGGGGTTTTACCTTACTCATCATTGTGAAACACATTCATTCAAACTGGACAGAAATACAAGTCATCAAAACCATCTTTGTTAGTCTTTCCACTGTTCTAACAAGCACCGTCTCTGGATTGAGAGTTTGAAAACACTGAATAAGAAACAGATGGAAGAAGAAGAAGAAGTAACCACCCAAACATTTTCACTGATTAATAACCCTGTTTTCCGGCACGTTTGTAACATTGAGTTTTTCGGCAGGTTTTTAGCAAAACCTACATGAAAACGCTATTTTTGATGGAAAAAGGTAGAGAAGCCTCACAAACATCCTCCCTCTCTGTTAATAGGACTCTGAGGCCATCTACCAATGGTTGTATGAGTTCCAGTTGCAGCAGTACACATCCAACTTCATCAACTCAGGATATGACGTACCCACCATCAGCAGGATGACGCCTGAGGTGTGTGTGTGTGTGTGTTGCAATCAGCATTTTAGCATTAACAAATTATTCAAATTTAGATTCATCTTTGTTGTTGAATGTGTTTTTTAATTCGTTTGTTTTACTTTTACTTGCTATGCACTTTTAGCCATCATACCCATTTCTTACCACCTTTAGCTCCATACTTCTTCTGCTTGTGTGCATAGTTTCCTCCATGTACGCTGCATATGCATGGTGTCATATTGTGAACTAACAGGAGTGAACACTATGTTCTTGTTATAAAACTGTAGCAGTCAATCCCCAATATTTGAAAGATAAGATGTCTTCTATGTCGTTTTTCTTCTTCATTATTTTGTATTCGCCGGCTGCCTACATGTGTTTTGTTCTTCAGGACCTGACAGCCATCGGAGTGACCAAACCAGGCCACAGAAAGAAGATCTCAATGGAGATCGGCAAGCTGAGCATCCCTGAGTGGCTGCCTGATTACATCCCTGTGAGGAACCGCTTCTAATGGCCCACTCTCATGTTTATACACTGATGAAATGCAGCTACTCCTCTTGAATTTTTGTAGTACTTGTATCTGTCTGTGGGCTATTATGGTTACACAATTGATACTGCTTCCTAAAATCAGCAAAGCACAACGTTCAGGATGATCCTGACTGTCTCTTTTGTGTTTGTTGCTCTCAGTCAGACCTGGGGGAGTGGCTGAGTGTGATTGGACTGCCTCAGTACCAGAAGAGATTGTGTGACAATGGCTACGACTCCATTACTATCGTCAAAGATATCACCTGGGAGGACCTGCAGGAGATAGGCATCACCAAACTGGGTGAGGAATTACACCGAGTTTCTATGACATTTGCTGGGGACTTCCCCCAAAGAATGAAGCTGTTCCATTTTTGACCGTTTACTCCAAAACATCCATTCATGTTCATTAATGCTTGGAAAGGAGATAATCTCTTCTGTGCCTCCAAACAAACTTTACTCCTCACTAGAGATGCACTAATTGCAATTTTCTTTCTGCTGATTCCAATTTGAAAAGTTTGACCTGCCCATTCCAATGTCTGCAGACATTTGCTTTCTAAAAACAGCAAGACTAACCGGACTAAAATGTTTCACTGCTGTCCTGAAACTGTCCCAAAAACTAATTTCAACCATCCCAAAGTCTGTGTTATCTGCCAAAATGTAAAGTGTTATCTTTCTATTTATATGTATTTCTGTTGTGGTTATTTGCATAAAAACACAATTCAAACGATGAGGAAATGAATGATTTGAAAAAAACGATTGTCATCAGTCATTTTAATTATATGTTATAAGCTTCTTAGAGCTAGTGGTTGTAAGTTCAACAGGTCATAATTCCCTCTCTAATATATATTTTATATCGCTGTGAAAACTGAATTTTACAAGATTACAGTTGAACACATTATAATTTACTTTCGGTCAATACTCATTTTTACTGACTAGAGCTTGAATGCGAGTCAATCTAACGTTAGCTGTTAGCTCCGTTATAAGACTGTGAGGGAGAGACGAGCCGGTCACTGCGATTATTGTGAGCAACATGCATGGGGATGAATCATATAATACTAAGTTCGTTGTAATAAATGATTCTAAGGTTGTTCCTCCGCTGCTTATTTAGAACTTGCAGTTGTGACAAATTGCACGCTTTATTTCTTCTTCACTCACGCTGAAGAACTCCCACACTGAGACATAGTGTGTGTGTGTGTGTGTGTGTGTGTGTGATGTTACTCTGCCATGTCCACACTACTCTGCTTACATTTGGAAACAGTTTTGGAGCACCCCTAAGCGAAGGAGTTTGAAAACACCCCCGAGGTTGGAGGTGTTTGAAAACTCCGGGGTTGCGTTTGCGTGTGGACGGTCTGAAACGGATGTGTTTAGAAAAAATTATGCACACACCCGTGTTCGCTACTTGATTGGTTCTTAGCAGCCATGACGTCTCCTTCCCTGATTCGTCACACTCACTATCACGTGACCTGTACCCGGAAGAAAACAAACTGGGCTACCAGCGATTCATTTCAACATGGATAACGAATTTCAAGCGTTGCTTGCTTTGTTGTCTGTACTAGCAGCTGTTGTGCAGTAAAAGTCTGCATTTCTGTGGAGGAAGCAGCTGTTATTGGAGCGATTAGCGAGCGGCGTGACCAGCGGCATCATCAGCCCTATGGAGCAGACGTCTGAAGCCACAGTTAGCAGTAATGTCACAATCAGGCTTTGCCTTGGGTGTGGTTTTCTGTAGCTCCTCACTTCCTTCACCTGTCCCTAATCAGTTCGTTCAGTGCACCTGCCAGTCACACTCTCCCTCATCAGCACAACTCTCCTCACCTGTTCTAGTCACTATTTAAACCCCTGTCTTTCACTCACTCACTGCTAGATCATTGTTTTGTTTCCTACCTACCCGCCCGTTTTGCTCTTCCTGTTCCCGGTTTCCCAGTCTGTCTGCCCTGTATTTGCCCTGCCTTGTTCTGCCGGATTTCCCCCCTTGTCTCGTCCTTGGATTACCTGTTTTTGTTTCGTGAGTTATTAAAACCCTTTTGTTCACTACTCTGACTGTCTACATTTGAGTCCTCATTATGTCCCGTGACAAGTAAATGCTATTCAGATCTACGAGTGAGAACAGACAACAACACCGAGGAAACGAGTGTGTTCTGCCCCCACATTTCTGTGTGGTAGAATGTCATTGCATTTTCATGCTTGTATTTATCCATCCTCTCTTACCGTAGTTAGTGCCTCGTTGTTTTTAGATTCTAATGAGAAGACACACTGCACTAACGTTTTACTTCTTCGGTTTGGTAGCCTTAAGAGACCTTAGTCTGTAAGTATTTCTTTATGAAGCATGAAAAGATGTACGAAGATATACTCTATTCGCTCTTTTAGTATAGCATTTGTGTTGTATTAAATGCTAATCGTGGTTAGCATTTCCCCATTGGCGGTAATGTTAAAATTAGCTTAGAAGGAAACGAGTGGGAAACGAGTGAGAGACGTGTGTTGACCACATTTATGGACCATAATCTAGTAAATGTTTACGTGTAAGTGTTGATTTTAAAGTAAATTTGATGTGAGAGAGAAATACAGAAAGACCCGCAGCGCTGTAGCTAAGTCTGAAAAATAAAACTTCTGAAACTTTCCACGAACTGTCTGTTTGAGTTTATAGAGGAATATTTTAGAGGAAGCTCTTAAGTATCAAATACAACCTTTCATTATTAAAGACTACTTTATTACTCTGTCGTATTTTTTTAAACTAAGCAACCAATCCACTTCCTGTTTACACCGTCACGCGCATTCCCAGTGTACGTTAATGGTCACGTGCTGTCCGTCTTCGAAGGTTGCCGTGTGGATGCAGATCAATTCGAAAATGATGCTGAAACGCCCGTGTGGACGGAGATCGTTTCTATTTGAAAAATCTGCTTCCAAATAGAAGCGGAGTAGTGTGGATGTAGCACACACTACTCCGCTTCTATTTCCCTCAGTGCTGCTGTGTGCCGACCATGTGGCACGAGTGACTGGCAAAAAATCTAAAATCAGTGGCCGATCGATTAATGCGCCTCTACACTTCACACAACATTTTGTTAGTGAGGAAAATGTAGACTTACAGATTAATTTCCATTCTTTGATAGAAATTGATTTTAGACCATGAATATATTCCATAGAAATGCTTTCAACGTACTTTGTAGCACAAGAAAATTAGCTTTAACTCGGAGAGGGTTGACGACTTAGTCTCAGTAAACTCCCTCCAATGAAGAAGACCCTGAAATGTGCTGAAAGCTCTAGAAAAGGCTAGTAAGTGAACCTTGATTGATTTTATTTTTTTTCTCTGACGACTGTTTTAAAGGTCAAGAAGGAACTTTTACATTTAATAATGTTCATGAGAGGAACCTGTGTTCTATATTCAGTGGATTGTAGTGTTTCCTTTCTCTCTGTTTCAGGTCACCAGAAGAAGCTAATGTTAGCGGTGAAGAGACTCAGCGACCTGCAGCGCTCCCGCAACCATGCCGACAGATCTGGAGGCGGGACTCTCCGACGGAACCCCCCCGCCGCCCTGGAAATGGTGGCCATCGAACACACACCGACACACAATGTGCAGGCTCACGCTCCTTCTGACGACTGCTGCCCCTCCCCTGGCACCCCCAGGGCGCTCCTCTCCTTCCAGGACAGCGAGTTGAGCGCCGAGCTGCAGAGCGCCATGATGGGCAGGGCCTGGGGAGCCGAGGCGTTCGGCATCAGGGGCGTGCCCTCTGCGGCGGCTCTATCCGCCATGTCGGTCAGTCAGGAGAGTATTAGCATGCGATCACGTGGGTCAGGGAATTCTGGAAATTCCAATTCCGGATATTCTCAAGATCACCAAGCTACACAGTCTTCAGCCAGGATATCCAGCCGGTCAGAGGAGAGTCTGGGGAGTGGTGCCGGGGAGGAGGCGGGTAGAGGTAGACAGAGACCCACAGAGATGTGGGAGCACCTGAGTCGTTCTGCTACCCCCAACAAACTCCCCTTCTCCCCTCTAACACCTCCGCTAACACCCAGCAAGATGCCTCGCTTTGCCTACCCGGCCGTCCCACCCAAGTCCAAACGCTTCCAGTCCCCCAACCGCCTCCATCAGCCACAGCACCAGCCGCCTTCCTCTCCATCCCCACAGCCTTCCCCCACACAGAAGTCCTTCAGTTACCTCCACGCCCAGACAGGAGGCGTCAATGGGGCTCCACATGTGCTCTCCAAACCTCTGCCTGGAGCGGTCCCTCTGCTGGGACCCCGGCCTGGACAGGGCCCTGCTAACGACGCCCAGAGGGGCACGCACAAAAAGCGTGCCCAAAGCCTGACTCGCTACGCTTTGTCCGACGGCGAGCCGGACGACGAGGACGACCTCGCTCCCCCCTGCACCTCCGCCTCTTCTTCGGCCGTGCCCTCCTATGCCACGCTGTCGCGCAGGCCGGGACGCGGGCACACCAGTGCCTCAGGGACCCAGCGGCACATCAACCGCAGCCACTCGTTCGCCGTGCGATCCAGACGCAACGGCCCGCCCCCGCCGCCGCCCATAAGGATGAGTTCGGTGAGCGGCAGCCCAGTACGCCAACCAGGAAACGGGAAAGTGGTGGAGCCAGAGGTGAAGCAAGGAGTAGAGACGGAGGGCAAAGGCAGCGTGAGGTGCATCGCAGCCAGGCTAGAGGGAAGCAGCAGCAGCAGCAGCAGCAGCAGTCCGTCCCGGAGGATAGATATACCACCAACTCATGTCCAAGTTTCACCTGTTTTCATCCCCATTTCCTCTCCGCTTCCACATGGGATGAGTCCTCACATCGTCTTACAGCACTACAAACCTGTCCCTGTTCTGGGCTTGGGGGGCCTGAGGAGGACGGGTAGCGAGAGGACGGAAGCAGAGACTGCCAGACAAAGAGGTGGAGGCCCAGAGGGAACACTCGAACACAATCCAAGGAAAGGTGAAAGAATGTCAAAGAGTGCTACTGCGTCTCCAAAGCACAGCTCCGGTGGCCGCCTCCCTTTCGCTGAAGAAGGCAACCTCACTATCAAACAGCGGCCCCGGACAGCAGTCATCACCCACGCGGACGCTGAAGTCAAGACCCCGAACAGCCTGGAGCTCCCCGAGTTCAACCTGAAAGAGTCCGACACGGTGAAAAGACGACACAAACCCAAAGACTCATTGACACCTGAGGAGGCTGTCTCCCCCAGCAGAGAGTACAGACACCTGCAAGCCAACAGTCTCCACCCGGCGAACGATGTCAGGGCGCTGAGCGACAACGAATCTCAGAGGCCGGGGAACGTGTTCCGTAGAGTGGGCTCACTCGGAAAAGGCCCAAAGCCTCCAGTGTCCTCAAAACCTTCCAGTCCTCTCAAACAACCGCCGAACAGCAAACCAACAGTCTCCCAGAAATCAGTATCCTCAGTACAAGCTAGTGCACAAGCAGCCATTCCTAAGCTAACCAGCGTACAGATTCACACAGTGTCCCCGAAGCTGGGCGGTATCATACACACACAGACGTGTGTACCCGGCCCCACACCTGTGAACCCACAGGCAGTGAAGGCCAAACCAGAGAGTCCACAGAAAGGTGGTCTGTCTGTATCAAGGCTCCCTCAGCCCAGCACGGTCCCGGCATCAGCAGCAGGTAACACCGAACAACTAACAAAATCTGCCTCATGAATGAATAATATTGTGGCCAATATTTCTTAATTAATTATTTCATTAATCCCTCCCTCATCGTCCCTCAGGACTGAACCTCATTTTGGTCCAGAGTGTTGCATTCACCGCTCCGTCCTCACCAGCTCCGGCCCCCTCGTACCCCACCTCGGCCCCTCCAGGTCAGGCGGGTAAAGCGGGGTCCTCCCCGGCTGGTGCGGCCGGTCTGGAGGTGCTGGCTCAGAAGAGGCTGGAGCAAACCAGTACGTCACTAGAGGCCGCTCTCAAAGTGGTGGAGAACAAACTGGCACAGGGGAGCAGTGTGGACAGGTAAGTGCTGCTGTCTCTTAGAACTACTTGACTCTACACACAGTGTCAGTCGGCTTGTAACACTCTTGTCCGTTCCACAGTGGCAACAGCACAGTGAAGGCGGCAGGAAATATTCTGGATGACATCGGCAGCATGTTTGACGACCTGGCCGACCAGCTGGACGCCATGTTGGAGTGACCCTCCCGAACTCTGCGGCACAAGGTTCCTTTTTTTTAGGAGAGCGACGGACAAACATGGAGACTGAGAAGCAGAAGATGAAGATGGTCCTCTGATGCTGGTGAGAGCAGAGACGGTGGAGGTGCTCGGCTCCTCTTCACCACTCTGGAGGAATCAATAAAATATACTTTATTTAAAATACTCAAAAAGTGCACATTTGAGGATTTCCTGCACAACCTTTCCTCAATATTACCCAGTTTTCCAACGCGAGCACTTCGCCTTAGGACACACACCTGGGAATGTTATTGGAGCAACAACCAACAGCAGCTGTGAGATCAGCTTCAGACGTGTGTGTGTGTGCTTTTTTTCACTTTATTATCACTAAAGGGAACGAGGGTCCATTTTATTCACGTTACCTGTACATGTATCTATGAGTCTCTGGTGGCACTGTGTATGTGTGTAGTCAGATATCTTTATACTGAGTATATTTATACTTCTATATGTTTGTTTTTTAACAAATGGAGTTCCTATTGACTGTTTAAATCATTCTAGTGTATATTAGCATAACTGTTGTATATATTGTTGCTGCTTGTTGTCTTTAACATGGGGAAAAATAGTTTACTGTATTTAAAGCAGCATATTCCTGATATGATTTGACATGTTTTTTATCCTCTTCAGGAGGCACAAAGTGAGGAGAGCTTATTTCTGTAAAGCGTTGTCGTTGGGGAGAAGATGTGTATCAGACTTTGGAGCTCAGTCCGCCTCCACTACCAATTAGGAAGGTTGTCCAGCTCGCCTCAGGGTGCTATGAAATGAATTCACTGTAAGTCAAAGTCCTGTAAGTGTGCCATGTGCAAAGAGCGGGAGATGCTTTTAAACATTTCAACTGTGGCCTGTTACAAAGCATTTCAAGTAAGGTCAACGAGTATGTTTGTTTCTAAGTGACTGAACACAGAGAGAGTGGGAGCCTGGAGTGTGACACCGGAATAGTTAGACTTTCACATGTGTAATTATAATCAATTCATTAATTGATTCCTTTTTAAAATGCCATCCTAAATATCTGAATTCAAATTGCATTATATAACTGAAAGTATAAAGACATGAGCTGCTCGGAGCATGCTGGCTACTTTGTTTCCTGCTTTAACGTTTGCAGTTTCCATTACTTTGATTTTACAAAAACTTGTAAGCAGAGCGTCACCATAAACCCACGAAGCAGCAGGAGCTCTGATTGGCCAGACTGCTGGCAATCGATAGCAGCGGACCAATCAGGGCTCCCGGTGTTGGACTTGCTGCACCTTCAAATAAAAGAGTCGTCTTTAAATTGGAGCAATCTTAAAAGTTACGAGATGCAATCTGATTTAGAGATGGACTAAGAAAATGTTTTTTTTTGTCATGCGTTCTATAATGCATAATTTAAATAGTCGCAGCACACTTCTCTCATGAAGCAGTTGGCGGGTTAGCCAGCTCATTCTGGGGTGAACTCTGACTTCATGTCTTACTTTTTGCTCTTTACTGCTGCAATGAATGAATTTCAATCATTTCATCCAATCTAATTAAATGTGTGACTATGCATGTGTTGCATAAGATAAGATGTTTGCTCTTCCACATTTACAAACTTCTAGTTGGATTGATAAACTAGTTAACGGGACCAGCTGGTCACCAGCGTTGTGAGATTAGTTACTCGGGATCACCAAAGTTTATTTACGCCAGATATCTCCGAGACATCGTCCTTAAACTTTACCCGTCCCTCTCTTTTTATGGAGCGACAGCATCTTCACTGCTCAAAACTGCTTTTATTATTCACTCGTCTGACTCCACTTTCAGTTGTTGAGCCAATGCCATACTACAGTTAACGTGGGGTTGAATGTCTGTGAGCCATCTTGTTTCAATGAAGCCAGTAAAGAAAAGCCATCTTTGATCCTATGTTAGTCTGTACAGATGCTCTCAGCAAGTTCCTCCCAAACCTTTGCAGGGAGAAGATCCGTGTTTAGGATCGTGAGGTGGAAGACATTTTCTACATCAAAACATCTTTCAGCACTCTGTTCTATTTTAATGTATGCCTGTTTCTTTCCAGCAATATTTCCATTGATCTGTATGATCCTGGAAATCATTAAAAGGAGAATTTGTACTGAGGAAGTGTTTGTCCAGATGTTTTCACATGAGGGAATTCTGAATGCAGTCAAATGGACCGATATGAGGACATGTACGGTACGTTCTCCTACTGGCTTCCCATAGTTTCACCCTGAGTGATGCAAATTGTTACCATAAATGTAATGATTAGTTTAGCTTTAAGCTTAATTTCTTCAAATTACTGTTTCCAAGGTGAGGAATGTACTGCATTACAAACCTTGATTCCTCAATGGTTTATTTGTCAATGCATTGGACAGCACAGAGCATCGGTACACTTTATATTTTCACATGGTAAAAGTCTAGTATTCGATACAAAAATATCCTCTTAAATCATTTAATCAAACATGTATGTACACAATTATTTAAGAGCACTCAAAATCTGCCAATAACAT